GCGGAAGCGCCAGCATCGGACCGTCGGGCAGTTCCTCGGGGGACCTGGGAGACTCTGGAATCGAATCTGGGGACCTTAATAGCCTTACTAATCCCAAGGGATTTAGGGTTTAGGGTGTTGTGATTTAGGGATTGTGGGATTTAGAAATTGAGGGATTTAATGATCTAGGGCTGAGGGTCTTGGATCGCCCTAGGGCTCTGGTTACCTAAATAGGAGGTTACTGGGGTGTATAATGTATGGTTAGTAACCTACCATTTAGGTAACTGGAGCCCCAGGGAATTGGAATAGGATTTCGGGGGTATGTTATGCCTATTATGCTATATAGTTGTAGCAAGGAACCCTCAGGACAAAAAAACATGTATTCGGCTTTTATATTAGAACGCCGCACGCCTGACGCCAGTCCGCCCAAAGATTGACCGCAAAGAAACGAGTTCTGCGGAAGTTACCCACGAAAGGTTTAGGCTTTAGGGTTTAGGGCTTCGGCTACCCAAAAATCAACTCGTGCCCCAAAAATACTAGTACTAATAAGACTAATAACACGTAAAATAATATTCTAATATATCTATGAACTACTATACTTATGAATATTATCTCTTTTGTGGGGGGGACCTCGAGGTCCTACATTGGTCCTACATGCCCTCTAGTCTAGGCAGAGTGGACCCTTGAGCCCACAAAAACTTGGCTACATAAGGGTTATATACAGTTCTACCGAGATGTTTCATGCTTCCGGACTTTTCACGACATACTCAAGCCTGCACGCCTAAACACACTAAGCCCGAACCCCAAAACCCGGAGTTCAACATTCCTATAGATCCGATCCTCACCCAGTATACCACGAGGTTGGCCCAATAAAGCCTCTGAAAACTATTCGTAAATGAGATCCCTAAAGGCCCACCTACTTGGGGACCAAATGGCGCTCATAAGTAGGGGCCCTATATATACCATTATACTATGAATCCCTATATGCCCTATATGGTATATGAACCTTAAACCCTTTTGGAATTCTTTTCAGTCCTGAAAAGGTATACCATGCGGGCCGGGCCACAGCGCCGCGTTCATTCGTGACCTCCGAACATCTTGAGGCTTGCTCGCTGAAGAGCCACGGTTTAGTGGTTCAGGGCTTAACATCCCCAGGGGGAACCCTGGACACAAGTTCAGGGGTTTTGAGGTTTTGGAAAAATTCTGGGCTGGGGTCCAAGGCGACGAATGTGGTACCACAGGGGTTCTGTGCAGAGGTTTATACCGGCTGCTGCTCCAAACTTAGCCGCGGGCAGATGCCCAATACTAGCCTATACATATATACCTGGTTATTGGATCCTTTGGACCCTTGGGGTATGGACCTGCAGATATCCTGCTGCAATGCCCTGCTGCAGCTTCAAGCGTAGGCTACTGGGGTATATACTATATGGTTAGTAGCACTATATACTATTTAGGCAACTGGATCCCAAAACCCCCAGGGTCTAACAACAATGGACGCTCTCAAAATGCAAAGCCCACTACGGAAAAACACTAAACCGTAACTTGATCATAACATCTCGGCCCTGACTCTGCTCGGGTGGGCCCCTGATCCCCCACCCACAATTGTTGGCTTCGGGGTTCGATTTAAGACATATATATATATATATAAGATCCTACCCCAAACCCCTAAACCCCAGAAGGCCCCGAACCTGACATGCTCGAGATCTTTGATCCACGCCTTTGGAGATGACGCCTGCTGGACAATGCTGCAGACCTCACCGACGTGAAGGCGGTTAATGCCGGTTAAGGCTTAGCTGCACCGCACAAGTCTTTGCAAACATAGCTCTTTGTAGGTTCTGGGCGATTCCATTACCTAATCTGGGCATCAGGTATGGGTTAGGGCTTAGGGTTTGGAGGCATATTCTTCTTCATAGCCCAATGTCTTGGAAGTAACATGGTGTACGTCCTCAGGCGCAGCGACTTAGGGTTTAGAGTCAGAGTTGTGTGTCCTGAACTATTGGGGCAAGAGATTTGGCGATGAAGCTGCCATCCGACCACACGGACCCGCACACAGGGTCTTTGGTAACTGAAACTCAACCTCACAACCTAAACGATCCTTCAGCTCGTGAAGAATCTTGGATGCTGAGGTGCTGGGGGGTGGGGCCCCCCCTAAACCCTAAACCCTAATTCAACACTCCGAGTCAACCTTTGCTGGGCTCTCGCACGCCCGGATCTGCCAACTCGGCACTGCACCGGCCGCCCATCCATCGCAAGAAGAGGCTTTGGGTGGGTGATTTGAGGTAGTACTTCGGGCTGAGGGTTTGGGGTTGTAGGGTGGGCTCCCAAAAGGCTGGCATATGAACTTCTCTAAACCCTAAACCCTGACTTCTATGGTGAAGAGCGCTCAATGCCTTGGGAAGTGCGAAGAGAATCTTGGGAGCTCTATTTCGCTAGGCTTCGGTGCATACTGCTTAGCAGGCTTTGGTTCAAGATAGCGGCGTTAAGTATCGTGTAGAGTGGGGTTTGTGGTGTAGAATCTACTATGACGATGTGAATACGGTTCAAGAGACGGTATTGGTGTGTATTGGTATTTACCCAAGCTTCTGTATTTGTAAAGCTTCGGGTTTGGGTTTGGAGGTATGTGGTGACAGAGGTTTATGGGTCAAAAGGTTTAGGGTTTGGAGTCAGGAGATTAGACCTCTGAAGCTTAAACCTCCGAAGTAATTCGACCTCCAGCTGCTCGTCCTTGAGATTTTGGTGGTCGTTGCAAGAAGACTTTTATTCATGTAAGAAGGACGAGAACAGATATTGGGTTTGGGGGATATATAATGCTTTATGTAAAATAAAAACAAGAATAAAAAGGAGCTCCCCGAACTAACACCTTGACATTTTAAGAAGGCTTCCGGCTTGGGAAATGCTGTGTTCCAGTCTTTAAGATCAGCAAGGTCTAAAGAGCCGGATATCGAGCGACAGATTTCGCCAAACTGGCCCCATACCCTAACACATCCTAAAGCCTATACTGGATATCGATTTCAAAAGTCCCTACTACCATGTGTAGTTAAGGCTCTACATTGAACAGTAAGGGCCTTAACAATTATCCCAGATCGACATCCGGTATAAATTCGATACCATATATCCTGCCTACACCCGATACCCCAAATCCTTTAAGCGCTCGACCCTAAACTGCCCCCACCTCGGCACCCTGAAGCCTCAGAGCACTGAAGACTGAAACCCGAAGAGTCCGAATCTCATGAGGTTTAGGGTTCAGGGTTTAGGGTTTAGGGTTCAGGACTTAGGGTTTAGGGTTTAGGGTTTAGGGTACCAAGACCTTGCACTTTTGAAGCCCCAACCACTCCTCACAGGTTAGGTACGATCACATTTCCCTTAACGTGATATCAGATACACTAAGTAGTCTCTGTGTGCATATGCATAAATACACTGAACTCGATGCAAATTGGCATGTAGATTTTCGTGCCGGTGATATATGCAAACCTCGTACATGTGCACAGGTGTCAGGCGTACAGGGGCTTGGCGTGAAGGTATGAAACATCGGGGCCATCACAAATTGAACAGGGTTCGGGCGTGCGTATATATATATATATATATATGTATGTATGTATATATATATATATACACACACATATGCATATATATATATATATACAGACAAAGGTATATGTGCGATAAGAAAGAACCCCTCAAATAGTTTTCTCATTTCTTGCGCCTATAGTAACCCCAGAGGCTCGAGCCATGTACTGCTAGGTTGTCAATGCAGCAATCCCCGGAGCTTCCGCGCATATATGTATGTTTATGTATATATATACACACACACACACTAGCGTTATGGAATTAGGTCCCAAGAGACCCTCCTTCTTTCGGTTTTGGGGACCCACTTCCATACTAGTAGTAGATATGGACCCTCTGGGATAGAAAACCCTCGGCTCCCAAGTACATCAGACTGGAGACGCTGGAGCGGCATCAAGAAGGCATGCAACACACAAATCCTGAGGTCCTCGTTGCCTCCATCGTCGTCGCAGAGTCCGGAGCCTAGTTCTCGGTGGATTTCTGTAAGCTTGGAGGATCCACAAATTTTGGGCCTTTTGGGTTTAGAGTGATGAATGTACAAGACATGATTCCACTGTTCGGGGGCTGAAGGATCCCCAGCTTTGCATGGGCTAGTCTTTAGGACTAAGACTTGAGTGATCAGAGTTTAGCGTTCAGGTGGGAGTTTCCGAAATAGGGGAACCTAATATAGTACCCTAAATAGTAGGACCCTTGCTATAAGGACCCCCAAATAAGGTACCCTAATTTTGGAAATTCCCACTTCTTTTTTTTTTTTTTGAACCCTCGTGTCTTTTAACCGAAGCCTCCAGACTACCGTACCGGTTGAGGGAGTGTGTGGGCGACAGGTACCTCGAACAGGGATTCAACCACCACACCACTAAATGCTTACCCATATCACAGCAGCTGACCCATGCCGTGCAACACTCCGTGTACCGTCGCCCACAAGGCCAGCAGGACATCCCATGCAGCTCACGCACTCATCACTATACCTAAAACCTCAACACAACGTCTCTCCGCTGCATATGGTCTGTCGCTCTGCCCAAGCCGTCAGAACTGCGCCACTCTGTGCCACGGGCAAAACACAAAACTCAGACATACAAAGAGCTACAACACAAGTAACAGCCCGATTGGTGTGGCTCATCTGACATCAGCTGGCTGGGTTTTCTGTCGCTCTGCCCAAGCCCCAGGTTATTGCCAGTAAGGACACAGAAAAGGGTACCACCTTCGCTAAGAAACACCACATTCAACTAGGTTATTCAGGGGCAGTTGGTTTGGCGAGCTCAATGCACTTCCACATGGAGTATTCTCAACATGTGAATTTGGCCCAAGGTGGGGAGTGCCTACCTGTCCAGAGCGGGGCGCGGCTTCAAGCATCAGGCTAAAAGGAATCATTCCACGATAGCACCCGTACTCTGTTCGTGTGGCTTTCCTCCCTGGGACATGGCATCACCTACATGCTTTGCTTGTTATGGTGTCACTCAGCTGCCCGAGCTTGATGAACTCCGCCTTGGGATGCCATCTCTGCGTCTGCGAGCGGGACTGTCGTCTTCTTCACTATGGTGCGGCGGGTGGTCACTGTCCGGGAAGTATGTTGCCCATGCCGGCCGGACCCAAGGGATCGTCTCCATGTCGTCCATAGTGTCAGGTGCCTCACCACTGCCAGCCATAGCTTCGTGAGGGGGTGCATCAGTACGGCTTTCGCCCTCGTTTGCCTCCAGGTTCGACTCGTGGAGTTGCGTGGCTCGGTCACCTGCCTCCTGGTTCTGCGGGGGGCCACCATTTAGAAACCATGCATGGAATGCTCGTTTGACCGGTCCACCCCACTTGTCCACCAGGTCGCCTTCCAAGAGGTCACCCTCTGCCCAGCGGTGGTAGTCGGCGATACAGGCCGGGCGGGCAAGGATGGCTTCAACATCCCCGCCTTGTAGCCATTCTTCTCGGGCACTCACGTTCACATCCGGCACTGTGTCGAGCTCCAGTTGGGCCACTTCGGCGGCCTCAACGAGGAACATGGCCGCCTCCTCGCCCACATTTGCCACCAGGTTCTTGAAGTCAAGCCTGCCCTCGCGCCATGCTTGGTAGTGGGGCTGTAGGTCGGGATCGTTTGTACTCCATGCTCGACCCCTTTCCGGTTGGACCTGAGGGGCCTCCGGCATGTCATCTGCCTTCTGCATTTGGTCGACTATCTTTTGTTCTCGGCGGAGCAGTTCCCGCGTTCCAATCTCTCGGTCCACCTTCCTTCCCTCGTTGATGTAGTTGCCGCCATGCTCTACCATACTGATCCCCAGCTTGAGCTTGATTTCATCCCCTTCACCCACTTCCCACTCTGAGTATCTGCTCGAAGTGGTTGACCGCATTTCCACAGTCACTCTGATTTTCTTGCCCGGCGGTGCGCTACTCCAGCCAAGGTTGGCTTGTAACGCAGCCCGGTCCTGAAGTTGGGCCTCACGTGCCCTTTTCTGTTCTTCTCGGGCCTGCTCCTCCTGGTGCCACTTGAACAGCTGCACGTCCTCCTCGTTCTGCTGCCTCTCCAGCCGTTCATGTTGTTCTTCAGGGGATTCTTCCACCATCGTGATAGGCAGCTGGTTGGAGGAAGAAGCTTGCTCTGGCTGGGGAGCATCACCACCTCGTCGCAGCAACCTGGCCATCCACCTTCTTAACCATTCGGCGCGTCCATACACTGCCGCACTGCATGGTGGCGCCTTCGGGGGCTTGCCAGCGTACGCGACCAGGACCGCGTGGACGCTGTCCCACTCTGGCACGTCGGCAGCTTGCTGTTGGATAGCCTTCAGGAGGGCCCCCGCTAGATTTGCAGCTTCGGCTTCGGATGCAGCGTTGAGGTCCTGGTTCAGTGCCTTCGCTAGGTGAGGAGTTCCCGTCGAGAAGGTGCCCGTGATGGTTCGTTGCATGAAGGCCATCTCTTCGGTCTCGTCCTCCTCCTTCTTGAGCAACACCAGCGTCTGCACCATTTCAGCCGTCGTATCTGCCCACAGTTGCTGGCTACTGCTGAGGGGCAGAGTAGGTGCCAGGGTGTCCACTGGTGCTGGCATCTGGTGCTCCTGGGGGATGACTAGGAGGAACTGCTGCAGGATGTGGTTGCACTCTCGTAGGTCGCCAGCCTGGAGCCCGGACCTACATGTCGCCTGCAGGTGGTTGATAGCCTCGTTGACGGACATTCCCTGATACCATTGGTCTTCCAGGTCATCTCTCAGTTCACACAGTCTCCGGTTGCACTCTTGTACCCGGGCTTCGTGGTGGTGCCCTTCTTGTTTGGTGTTCTTCGGCACGGTCGCTGTCTCGGGGGGCTCGTCGGGGTTCAGCTCCCGCACATCTCCTCCAGGGCGTTCCTGATCACCGCCTAGGGCTCGGTTTTGTCCATGGTCCCTTTCCTCGGCCTTTCTGCACTCGCGTTGCATCAAGGAGGATGTGTCTGGGGCCTCTTCCTCCACTGGCACTTCAACTTCATCAGTTGCGTCGGCTTCTCCTCCCGGCCTGGCTGAGCTCGCCGAGGCTTGGTCGTTTTCTTCTCCTTCGGGTTCATCAGGGATGCCTCTTTGGTACGCGACCTGGTCCACTATGCTTTGTAGGTCTTGTCCGACCAGCTCGAGGAACCCGGGGAGCGCTCGCCTCATCAAGCGGAATGCGGGCTCTGACTGGTTTGCCAGGGTCTCCCAGACATTGGACCAGACAGGGTCATTGATAAACCCTGGCATTCTCTGTGGCTCCGCTTCCTCGCACTCCTCGTCCGATTCCAGTTGTAGCACGGCCCTCCAGATGAAGTGGGCGTCCTCCATGTCTTGGGGCTCTGTCTCCGCCGCACTCGGGAAGGGAGTTCCCGGTTCGCACCTTTCACCTCGGTTGCTCGAGGATGCGGCTGTTGCCCGGCCACTGTGGTCTCCTCCCGAGGGCGGTGTCGCTGCTGATCGACTGTGGTGCCGGTCATGGAGGAGGTGTCTCGTTGAAGATGTGACTGTCACCCCCGGTCCAGTTCTCCAGGCAGCTGGGTTGTCAACTAACCTCCTCATGTAGCCGCTCTTCTTTTTCTTTTTGAGGTACCATTTTCGTACGACCAGGGCCGTCTGATCATAGTCTTCAGCTTCTGCTGGGTCCGGTCTTTCCCTCCGCCCTAGGAGCCTCCTCGGTCGGCCGTTTGGGACTGGGTCATTGTCCATGTCCAGATGCTCCTCCATGGTGGAGCTTGTTGTCCCTCGCTGGTGCAGGTGCATGCGGACTTCGGAGTCCCAGCAGCTGAGATCCTCTTCTGTCATCCTTCTCCTGTTCGGGCCCCACTCTTGCTCCGCCGGCGGGCGTGGTCCTGCAGCTCGAGCATGCCGTCTCTGCGGGGTTCGTGATCGGGACAGTCTGCGGTTGCGGGCCTCATGCCACTCACGTTCGAGTGCCTCGGTACTGCATGATGGGTCCGGGAAGCCAGCATGCACGCGTGAGGCTTCGCAGGCTCGGTTCATAACCGCCTCCGGGCATAGTTCACGGAGCCATCGGGTTCGCATCATGTCTTCCACCTGCTTAGCAAACTCTTCGGTGTACTCCGGCGGGTGTGGGCCCCAGCGATGTGGCCTGCCATGGTGGGGGTGTCGTAGCCATCGCTTACGGAGGCTCGCTGCCCACATGCGGGCAGTTCTCGCATATCTCTCGTCCTGCCGGTTCTCGATTTCCCTGTCGATGGCATTGGCTATGACCACCGTGTCGATACCCGATCTTTGCAGTTCATGGCCGTCATCGAGGATCGTGACATACCACATTGGCTCCCACCCTTCTTGGAACGGGTCCTCGTCATCTGTGGCCCAAGCGAAGGGCCCCATACCAAATGCTGCCAGGTGCCAGGTCTGTATGTAGTTCGTGATGTCCCCTTCCTTCAGGTCGGGTGGGCCTCCAGTTAGTCCACTCTCCTTGTTCTTCGGCATGGTCGTGTAATGCGGGGTTTCCTGGAGGTCGGGCCCCCGCCGAGCTTGGTCACGATGTCCTGGATCACCTTGGCCTCGGGTACCCGCATGGAGGGCCTCGACGTTCTTCGGATGGGTCGTGTATCGCTGTGGTACCTCAAGGTCGTGTTCCCTCCGGCTTGGGTCTTCTTGCGCTGAGCTATCCACTTCCTGGGTGCCGAACCTCTCTATCAGACTGCTTTGGTCGCTGCTCACTCGTTGCTCACTGGCATCTCGTCGACGATCAGCCCGCAGGAGCAGTGTTCCAGTGGTGGCCTAGGAGTTCTTCGGGTGGATCGTGTAATGCTGGAGTGCCTCGTGGTCGTGCTCCCGCCGAGCTGGGTCGTCTTGTGCTGGATCGCTGTCTTCGCGGGGCCGGTCATTGTTGTACTTCACCTCCAGCATGTCCTGGGGGTCGTTCTTCCGCCGACCACCGTGATCTTCGGGGGGATCAGTTTGTAGTGGTAGCATTCCATCGGCAGCCATCACGGGTGCTCGGAAAAGACTGCAGGCCACCACAACTATCATCCACCCCATGTGTGACATCGTTGCAGGGCTTACAAAGCGGCCTGCGAAAGCGGGGTTGCGCGTGTTCGGCACGACAGTGCCGTTCAAGCAAACTAAGGGCTGCGTACATGTAGATGAAGCCTTGCAACACCTCTTTGGCAAACAGCATGCAGAAGTGTCACAGAAATTCGGGTCTGCATTCGTCAATCCGTGGGAGGTCATGGGTGTTTACATCAATGGTTCACATGTGTCTCGGTTGCCTAGACTGTCGTGGTGCTGTGTGGTTCATGGTGGTGGTTCTGAGGGTTGACAGGCATTGGGGAAGTTTCGTGGCGGCCACTGGATTGGGTGGGGTTCTCCTCATGTAGGTCGAGTCATTAGCCCCTCCACCTCCGTCGCCCCCTCAACTGGCCAAGGCTAGCTGCCGCCCAGAACACCATGCAACATCGTTCTGTTGCACCCACCTCTCCTCCCCTAGCTTCCACTCTGGCCCACTCTTGGCCAGTTCTCGCCAGTCTTCCACTCCGGCCGCTCGGTTGAGTCTGACCTCCTCGTTAGACAAGTGAGGATAAAAGGCCTCTGGGTGGCGGGCGCCGTCCTTCCACCTCTGTTGCCCTCTCCACCACGGGAGTGTTCTGAATGCATCCATATGGGCGCTGGCTGGAGGGCTGTCTCTGAGCCCCGCTCTGACAACATGCCCTCGGTACTGCCAGTGTCGCCTCAGCCACGTGGCACTCCATCGCTCCACACCTGCATTTACTAGGATCTGCCGGGCTGCCCTCATACTGCGCATTCTGAACTCGAGCCAGGACTCCGCGCTCTTCCTTCGAAGCCCTGACATTCGAGCCACCATCTCCAATTGCATGGTGTTCAGTGCCCCCATGGCCTGTGGGTTTGGTGAGGCAGCCCCTGCATACCACAATGCTGCCCCTCCTACTGCCGACCGGAAAACCTTCAGGCGTTCCTTCAGAGCTCCACGGCACAGCAGTATGTTGGACATGGCATGGAACTTCTTCCTGGCTTTAGCCATGCCTGTGTCCATAACCGACGCAGGTTTGAAGGGCACTGCGAGTCGCACTCCCATGACCTCCAGTGCCTGGCTAGACACGATGGTGACTCCATCAAGTATTATCGCTGGACCTGCTGTGGAGTGAGGGCTGGAGTAGAAGAGAGTCTTCTTCGGGTTTACGGTCAGCCCCCAGCTTTTGAGTGCCTCTCCCAGGATTCGGTACTTCAAGGCTAGGTGGTCGCGGTTGCAATCCCACAGGATACTATCATCCATGAATAACAATGAGGTCAGCTTCATGTCTGGGGCACACCCTAGTTCTCGAGGCCATCTCTCGTGCGCTTGCGCCTGATGTAAGGCACACTCCATTGCTATAGCAAATATGAAGGGAGATTCAACTGAGCCCTGGCGGATGCCCCGAGTCTGGCTTATGCACTGGCTCCCCCAAGGAGTCCGGATGTGCGCCCACCCCGGCTTCAGCATCTGCTTCCAGGCCTCGAACTCCCTTCTGTGAGTCTCTGGCAGGTTGAGCTCGAGGGAATTTCAGTGATCAGAGTTTAGCGTTCAGGTGCTGGGGCTAAAGCTTCGGAGCGAGATGGGATTGACTTGGCTTCTGAACTCTCCGACCCGCGTCCTGACTCCGCCACCAAACCCTATAAACACTAAACCCTAAACACTACACCCTACGAGCCCTAAAGCCCAAGCCCCAAACCCGATAGACCAGGAGCCCTAAACGCTAAACTTTATGTCCGAAACCCGAAACCCGCGATGCCTTCTCTGCAAGCTTCTTCAGCGACGCGGCGGCACCCAAGGACACCCTGTCCAAGAGGGAATCCGAAGCCCTGAACGACCCGAAATGCTACGAGCAATATGGCATGATCAAACATTATGCATAGCATAATGCACACTAAGTACAATATGGTACAGTGTAGTACAGGAAGCTCCAGGCCCAAATCTTCCAAACGAGCACTAATCTCCATAAATCCAGAAACCCAATTTCAGTTAAGCCAGTAACCCAACAGCGTTTCACAGATCTCGAATGCTGCAAAACCTAACCCGGAAGCCTTAACTGACAAAATCCTCGACCCTAAACCCCATCCACAAACTTGAACCCATAAACCCTCTATAAACCCAAACTAAAGCCATCCTACACGCTCCAGTGCCAAGCAATTTGGGCCTCAACACCAGACCCGAAACCTCAAACCCGATGCAGGTGATCTTGATGTTGGGCCTGGGGGCCTCGGATGTGAAAGAGGACTCAGGGCCACCTACCAGATTCGGGCTCCTTAGTATGATTTCTATATCTATGTCTATATATATATATATTTATATATATATATATATATATTTATATATATATATATATATATGATACCTTCAGGCCAGAGGAAACAGCTATAGAGTTAAGGGCTTAGGGTTTGTAGGGTCGGATAATAGGGCTGTAAGGGTTTATCGGCTTCGAGGCTTTACCAGGGCTTGGAGGGCGTTTGGGTTTATAGGAGTTTAATGGGGACCCCTACCCTATAATGGGCTATATAATGGGTATACAATAGCTATATTAAGGGTAAAAACCTAGGGGCCCTGACTAAGGGTCCCTACTTTTACCCTTGGAAAAGTGTTTAAACAAAGGCTTATTGAGATACTGAGCCCAGAAGGCCCAAATATAAAAGCTTTGATCCCTCAAGCATTTGAACATTGGACTGCAGTATTCATGCATGGTCTCGGAAATCATGGGCAATCCAAGTCTGCAGCCACAATTCGTCGACGTATATCCCCTTCTGTCTATCTATCGATCGGTCTATCCATCTATATCCATACTATCGCAGACCTAGTCTCCGCATCTAAACTCCTTCAACATCGAAGAACCGGCTCCAACCTCTGCCCAACTGAAGCCCAAAAGCTTGAAGTCCCAATAGATCTGCAGCTTCCCAAAGAGAAAGGATGCAGCCTGCAAGCACTCATCATAAACCTCCTCCGACCAGAGAGCTCGAAACTTGCTCTTTCAACGCAGCCCTGCTCCATCTCTAAACCCTAAGCCCTGTCAACCCTGAACCCCACACCCTGAAAGCCTGAACTCCTTCCCATCAACCCCTCCGTCCATGCCTTTCGAGGAAGCCCTTCACCATCATTGCTCTGTCAGCCTGGCATTCACGTAGGTTGGTGCAGGGTCTAATGTATAGGGCTTTCATACTTGAAGAAGGCACTGGGACCTTTTATGTATGTCGTATACTACAATGTTCAGAATCTAGAAACTCGAATATTAGGACTGCCAGACCCAGATACCGTACCACATAAGGCTTTAGAGTCTGCTTCTACACATGGGATGAATTCGGCTTTAGCAGGTGTAGCTTTCAGGGTTCAGGTTGTAGCTTTTGGGGTTCAGGTTGCATCGCCTAGGGTTTCAGCTGTGGCTGTTTAGGGCTAGGGGTGTAGCCTGGAAATTGTGACAGTCTATCTTCCGGCGCTTAGAATTTGAATTCGGATTTGCGATCAGCATTTTGGAGCTCGCGGTTTGGCTTGGTTTGGGATGAGGGGGTTGAAGGTGTACTTAAGGCTGTCATCACACGGGTGGTGGCCCAACACATTCCAGGATTGCGCCGGCTTACAGCGGGGCTCGGGGTTGCTCCTCAGCTTGCGGACTTTCAACTCTTGAGGGTTGTAGACGTCCCAAAGGGTGCCAGGTACTGCTTTGAGGGATAACTACTTCCCCAAATCAGTAAAGTAATCATTAAAGTAAGTCCTAATATGGAAACTCTTTACAATTTAGGATTCCTAACTTTAAAACAAAGTATGTACATACATATATGTGTAAAATTCCTAAAAGAGGTCCTTTTATTGGGCCACAGGTACATTCTATCAGGGGATGCAGAGGCTTCGAGTTTCAGGCTCAGGTCTTTGGGAATCAGAATCGGACATCACTGAGGAATATTGTGAGGGCTTGTCATTGCCCTAGGGGTCCATGTGCCCAAAGCAATATAGCACATACATTGGCCCTAAAGTTCCTACATGGGGAATGAAGGATACTACATGAATACATGGACTCTGAGGGCCACTAATATCTCCATAATGTCGAAAGCACACGAATAGTCAAGGAACCCTATATACACTCACCAGAACCCTTAACACGAAGTCGAATAGAAACCGGCTTCATGTGTACGTCCTCTGTTTTCGGTGGGTATGAACCTGCAAGTGCTGCTCCAGCATGCGATCCGACGTGCTAGCCGCTAGCCGAGAACCTAATCCCTGTCCAATCGGCATGAGTTTCCTGCACCCTTCCTGAATCGCATGTGCGGAAACCAACGTTTCAGGAATGTCGCGTCTGCAGGTAGTGGGCATCTGTGCAAGAAAAGATGACGGGAGGTCCTGATGCACCGTAAACCGCCTCCAAGAGGCTGCTACAATACTATAGGGGCCTAAGTAATTACCTAGACTATTTCGGAGGGCTCGAATCGCTTCTCATCAGCGAGAAGAACATCGGCAGCCCCAGCCGCAACGTCGGCGTAGATTTGTTTGGCCTTCGTAGCCATACCTCCTTCTCCCACCTGGCATCGGCATCGGCGCAAGGTGCGATCTCGCCTGCGAAAGGCGATTGCCAACGGCCGGCAAGTGTCTGAGCGACGCCTCTCGGTGTTAGCTCAGCACCACGGAACTTGCCCGACAAGACGACGATCATTGCTGGGCATGGGAAGAGGAAAGTACAATCAGCAGCCATGGGTAAAGGACGAGTCCTATTACCGTGTATGGCCAGGTGCTTATTCGCCGCCCTCGCATCGATCGCGGCCTTCGTGGCAAGCGAATCAAGGGCCGGTCTTCCCCAGCTACAACACCATCGATCTCACGCAGGATGCCACCGGGGCAGCGGGTGCCGATGGAGCAGATGGGAGGCCACCGGACGAGGCCAACGCAGGTTTGGTTCCTACACTGCAGACGGCCCTCAATCAGACACGCAAGGCCGAGCAGAAAGTGAACAAGCTCAAGAAGGCGAAGCAGACCGGTGCGGCCAAGTGGAAGCAGTACGAGGCCTCCCTCAAGGCGACTTTTGCCCGGGAGCGTGGCCGCTTTGCCAAAGACCAGGAGCGCATGGCAAAAGAGATCGTCGAGGCCGAGGCAGCACAGGAAGAAGCCCGCGGTGCTCTTCGACAGGTCTTCATGCAGGAGCAGGGCCAGCCACAGGATGTGGCGATGGCCGAGCTGCCTTCAGTCGATCAGGTCTTTGCCAGCTGGGAGACAGAGGATCAGTCGGACTATGGGGCTGTCCTTCGCCGCGCCATGGACAGCCGAGGGCCAGGAGAAATGACTCCAGCCAGGTCGGTACACGTCGCACCAAGGACACCTGTTCCTGGACATGCTCCTCCCCCTGGCATGTTTCCAACGCCCGCTTTGAGATCGCCAGTACCAGTGATGATGGATCCGTACCTGGCAGCTTCCTACATGTCGGGTGCTATTCCTCCGGGCTTTGGTCCGCCGATGCTGCCAGTTCCGGGCCCTGGACATGCAGTTTCAGGGGACATGGATGTGGCAGGTACGACCGGTCCACCTGCTCATATGCCTCCTGGTGGCGGCGGGGGTCACATGGTCCCAGCACCAGCTGTGGCACCTCCTGCTGCACCAACCACTGGAGCGGATGCCACACACAATGGAGGCTATGGACCCAGCCCGTCCTTGGGAGACCGTCTTCGGCGTCGACGTGCGCTGGAGCCTTTTGGTGGTCAGCGAGACCGCGGGCCGTCCAGAGCGGAGGAGACGACGGATCCCGTGCCAACGGGTGCCAGACGTCTCAACATCCTTGCGGACGACGAGGACGAAGAGGAGAACGAGTCCGAAGAAGGCACGGGAGATGGAGACTGTGGGTAGTGGCTGCTCCCCTGCGAAGGGCATGGGCTTCCTGTCATCCAGAAGTGCCTTGGCGCGAAGACGCTCTTTCAGAGGCACTTCGCTGCTTTGGTGCGGAAGGCGACGGTCGAAGCTCATGCGTTTAATCGGTTGGAGCAGTCGGAGGATCTGAGAGCAAAGTTGGTTGTACAGTATAGGTGTTGCTGTACAGTTTTGACCGAGCCTGTGTACCCGTGCCAGACCCATCTTTCCTGTATGCTGGATTTCTGCCTTCCTCCAACGACAGTCGCATGGATTTTGTCTTCTTCGGCTCCGGCTCCCTCCTTGCCTTGGAGGACCTGGTGCCTTCGCCATGGGCTGAATGTGGTTGCCTGCTGTGCTCTTGAAGCGGGCATTTTGCCATGCCAGTACAGGGGTCCTCTACCCTCTCCCCTTGGTTCCTCGGGTTTAGACCCAGGTTTTGGTTATGCTGCTAGACCGGTTTGTCAAGCGCCTAACAGTCGTATCGGTGGCTCTGGGTCGACGGCTGACAACCGGTTTATGCAGCCACGTGCACAGCGGTGCTGCCCACGAGTGGGTTCTGATGGCACTGATGCCTTCGGACTCTGGGCGCCACACCTCAAAGGGTTTACTAAGCCTAGGCGCAACAGTAGTTTCAGCCTCTGTTCAGTGGCCTGCGAGGACGGCGCAGACTTGGCTGTCCAAATCAGCCATCTGAATGACAAAGCTTGCTATGTGCTCTGGGTTGGACTGTTTTGCCTTGCGCTGCTTTGGTTCTGCAGTGCATCCAGCAGGCTGAGTCGAGCCTTTGCTCCTGCTCTTCGTCACATCGCCACCGTGCTGTGCCTCAGGTTCCGGGTGAGCCCCACAGGCTCGACCAGGCCCGAGCTTCTCGGACCATCTGTGCTCAGTGCTATGGTCCATGCCAGCGACCTCAAGGTCGGGGTGTTGTTATGTTGCTGGCTGTGTGCTTTGTGGCTTGGGCGACTTGACATTGCGAGCTTGGAAACCCATGCGGGTGCCATTGCCCTTGGATTTCATTTTGCAGTCAGTGGTTGCCTCAGCGGCCTTCTTGTTTGGTCTGCAGCTTCTTTTGCGTGTGGAGGTCGACGTCGGGCAAATCGGCTTCTTGGTTGGGTCCCAACCTTTGCATTGGTGCCGTTGGGTTGTGTTGCCGCTGTGCGGCAGGAAAGAACTGCCACATGCCAGGCAGCGCGACACTACACCCGGCAACCGACGTGTGTCTGTCGCGGTCCCCTTGCGCGAGGCTGCTATGCCTTCCTGCTGGCCTTGTCTTTACCGGAAGCGGTTGAGGCGCACTCATGGAGCATAACATCCTTGACCTTGGCTGCCACTGTCGTCCCCTGGACGGAATGCCATGGCATGACGCGTCCAGACACACAAGGATGCCCTGCTGCTACCCGGGCGCACAGACGACGACCACATGAGATCCAACCAGATGAGTTGATCCCACATGTCGGTACACACCATGTCACCCTGCCATGGGTCGACCGTGCAGGAGCATCAGTCACCGACCCTGCATCGTCCTCTGTCAGCCAGGCTTGCTCAGTTGGTGCTGGCCCGTCCAGCCTTGGTGTGTATGTGCATACACCGTATTACCATGCTGTCACAGCTACGATATCGGTTGAGCCAGGTTGGGGTCTGCATCAGGTGACTAAAGAAGTCTGTCGCTCCGTGCATGGGGTTCCTGAGGGTCTGTTTGACTATGTCGTCCCCCTCTGTCCCCAAAGGTTTAAAGGATACGCGTCCTTTGTCCGCGTTGCCAGTGCGATCCGTCCACACGAAAACCACGGCGGTGTTGCCGTAGTCCTTGACCTCACACATGCCGGTGGCAGATACTTTGCGACGGTCCTGCCACCACGCTTGGACTATGAGGCATTGGTTGCTTTCATCACACCGCTCACGCATCATAGTGACCACCCGCTCTGCCTGCACGTTGGGGCGCGGGCAGACCCCTGGCCCTATAACATGCCCGTTGAGCTAGTAGACGGGGATGTGATTACGGCCTTGCATGGTTTTGATACCCGGGTGTTGCAGGTTTGCGTTGATAGTCTCTTTGAGCCGGGTGCAGAATGGGGTGCCGTTGAACATATGCCCACTGTTGAGTTCACTGCGGGCGTGTGTGCCCTGTACGGCAACACAAGGTACTTCATCCCTCCACATCACCATTATGGAGAGACTGTTATTGAAGCCATCGCGCGGTTTGTTGCCCGCCCTGCTGCAGAGCTCACATACTGCTCCTTTCAGATCGATGATCTAGAGGTGCATGGCGATCATGCTTCACATGCCATCCTTGTCATTGATGCGCCCAACCCTCAAGGGGCCTCTGCCTTACACGCGGCCAGGAGAGATGTCTTCGTGTTCTGTGACCTGCGTCCTTTGGGTTTGAAGCCCAGGTTCATATGCACCCACTGTCACGTCGTGCATCGACCAAGGCTTCTCTCGGCCTTCGACCTGCATGTGCATCCGGCTTATCGGGTTGAGGTTGCAGGAGGGGTGCAACAAGGCGAGGACATCCAGCTGCGCGGTAATGAGTCGCTTCTCTTCTACGCACGCAAGGCACGCAGTGGTGAGATCGCCATGCTAACAAGGGCAGATACTTCAGAGTCAGACAGCTCCTCCAGCTCTTCCAGTCAAGTACGGTCTCGAGAATCCCGTTCTGCCGATTCTCCACCCGCCTGGGATGGTCGGGAAGACGAAGCCGAAGTACGGCTTGAGGTACCTGCCCTAGGTGCGAGTGTACGTCCTCCTGATGAGAGTGTTATTTTGCCGTCCCAGCAAGGGCCTGACCCCATTGTAGAGCGGGTAGCAGCACAGGTTTCCACAGAGCAGGAGGGGTCTGCCCGAACAGGCCTGTCACCCTCCGGTGGGGAGGTCTCTACTCTTCGCTGCCATGCTGCGCAAGATGATGGGAGCATCAGTTCGACGCCCACCGCAGCTGGGCTTCCAGCGCCAGCAGGTGTTTTGCAAGGGCATGCAGCGAGGCCTCAGGTGCCCTTCCACACCGAGCCGCAGGCCTTGGCGGGACCTGCGCCCACCTTGGACGCTCTTCCAGCTGAAGCGGGCTGGATCCCTATCCTCGTTGCTGTCTTCGTCCCGCAATACGTTGCTGAGTTGTTTGAGATCCCACTGTGTCTGCCATGTGGGGTTGAACATGCGCTTGCTGCCATAGGGGACTACCGGACGGCATCCACCGCACATCATTTTCCCCAGCTCTTTGTTGCACAGCCTCATCCAGTTGGGGATTTCGCAGTTGTGCTGGCGGGTCCAGACTGGAACTCTGGCAAGGTCGTAGTCCTTTTTGACTGCCGACAAGTTAACGCGACTTTCTTCTCTGCGTTTGTCCATCCAGTCCTCAACAGAGAATCCCTGCTCATCGCTGCAGGTTTCCAGGCTACGGATGGCCACCAGCTCTTTGTGCATGGATTACTCCAGCCACTCCGGGCAGGCCAGATTATAGACTTAATTTCCGGTATGGTTATAGTCTGTGTGCCAGCAGGACACCGGCCGTCTGCGATGTTTGACTTTGCAACCATGCTTCAAAGTAGCAGCGACTGGAGTCTTCGGGCAGCGGTGCCAGGTCTCGGTCAAGCCCCAGGGACCTTTTTCCACATACTCACCGATGGTGGGTCACAGCGCTTTACTGTTGCGCAGGGCAGAAGACCACATTTTCGCAGCGATCTCGTGCGGCAGCTGAGGGCCGACGACGCGGCCCTGACCATCAAGCCTACCCATCCCCGTATTCAAAATCATTTCGATCAGGGATACATTTCGACCCAGGTTTTGGTTGCCACTGAAAGGCTATCACGCCTCCCCTGTCCTCCCGCCCGGACACCCGAAAACCGCTTGATTGTGGTGCTTGACTGTCGTCGCATCCTTCAAGGGTTTGAGTGGAGGCTGCTGGCCAGTGCTGTTGTGCCCCTGCAAGATTTGGAACGTTTCTACCTCCGACTCTGTCCGGCAGGGCGGAGTGTTGCCATATGGGGGGCACCTGTTGAAAATACAGCGGCAGGGCCAATGCTCCGTGTCACTTCTGGGCAGGTTCTTACAGTTGAATATGTGGAAGACGTCCTCATGGATGAACGTACGGATTCCGGGCCCCCTGGGGACGAGGGTGGCTCCTCTGGGCCAGAGTCAGATCCAGCAGGGGGGCCAGATGGCGATACAGGCGGCCCTTCGACTAGACTGCGCAGTCGGTCACCTAGGACCACCGGTAGCGTGCCCTCACCAGGTGGCGCGGCTCCTCCTGACGAACATCTGTTCCCCAGTACTGGCGCATTAGCGGGTGCGGTTACCTCCCCCGATCCTATGCCCACCCCGCTTTGCTTCGGAGTGCTTGCGCCTGATTTTTCAGTTGAGACCGTTGCTCTGCAACTGCAGCTTCCCCAGTCTGTAGACACGGTGATTCGAGCAGTCCAGGCTTGTCGCAATCCGGATCTTGCACGTGCTTTCCCGGTTCTTACGCCAGTCACTGTGCAGCCAGATGCTCGGTGGGGCCTTTTGCTGGCCACCCCCCAGTGGTCCGAAGGCGCGGTGTTCATCTGTGTTGACCTTTATGCGTGGCAGCAACGCCTTTTCGTCATGCCGTCCCCCCCTACTGTTTCAGGGGCCTTCCTCCAGGATGCAGCAGACCTAGGGGATCAGGCACAGGTCCACATTTTCGTTGGAGATCAGCGACCAGTGGGGCCGCACGAAGAGGTTACGTTGGACACCGGGTCTGTTGTCCGCATCTGTGCCAGGTCGATGTCACCTCCGGAGGCATGGTCGTTGACAGACATGTTGGCCTCTGATCTGCCTTGGGCCGCTGGCCCGGCTTTTCCAGTTGACCACACGCGCAACACGTACGGTCTTGTCACCACGAGTGGTACTGAGGTGTTTCAGCTGGATCCCAGCCGTTCATGGCACTACCGTGAGGATGCTGCTCGTCTCCTCGACTGCCCACCATCGGAACTTCTTCTTCAGCCAGGCATCCCTCGCCCAGTCAATGTCAGCCAATTGGGCAGAGTATGTCATACTGTTGTTGCTGCCATTGCAGTTGGCAGCCTTTCCCTCAGCAGCCGGCCGATTGTTTGCCTCCTTGACGCAAGACGTGTGTTGAAAGGTTGGATTCCACTTGTCACTCTTGACGGATGGCTTGATACCTTTCCCCCCTTGCGGGCCCTACAGCAAGGCGTCCCAGCACCATGGCGTGTTGCTTTCAGTGGAGTACCAGTCGATCAACAGTGGCTCCATACCGAAACAGGCTGCATCCTGACTGCCTACTGCTTCCGCGGTCGCTCTGACCTCTATACACTTTCCACACGCACCCCTCCCGATGACGATCTTGACCCGTCCCGAGGTTACGATACTGATCCAGGGAGTTGGGATTGTTGGCTCGGCGACGATCAGCCCCCGTCGCGATCAGAGCCGAGTCGTGGCAGCCCATCGGCTACCGGACCCCTTCTACAGAGCCGTGTCTCACAGCTGTCACCGTCAGCCACAGTCGAAAGATCCTTTGGGGACCATGCATCCAAAAGCAACGTGATGTACATGTGGCAGGAGAGCCTTTCGAACCATGACGCCCACCCTCTGGGCAGGTCTCCTTCTACCTCTGTTTTCCAGGTTGTGCTTGCAGAGTGCATAGCTGGCCTTCTGTACCTTGGGATCCTCTGTGTCACTTGTCACTGCCTCCTTCCACACCTATTCCTGCGATCGGACACCGGCAAGGATGGAGGGATGACGTGTCTCACAGTTGCCACGGTTGTCCTCGCGCTTGCAGGCGGGGAATCAGGAGTGCGTCGACGTTCCCTGCACCTTTCTGCTCTGGTGCTTCTGGGCTTCTGTTTGCAAGGCGCAACTGCGGTCGTGACCAGACCCCCGACTTGCAGCGGTCTTGACGACTGTGCTTCTGGCATCGCCTTCAGCCAGGCCCATGCTGCTGCCGTCCGGAGGCTCCCCACTCCGTGCCGTGTGCCACGCTCCTTGCGGTGCGTAGAGGACACAACTCCCGCTCATATGTGTCCCTCTGCCTTGGAGCGCACGGCGTGCAGCCCTGACGGCAATGGATTTGTGACGCTTCTTGAGCAGGCCGTGAAGGACAGTGACGGGTATGCTTTTTACCTGGCTGCGACACTCTTGGAGACACTGTTCGAGCACACGGCTTCCGAGCGCGTCAGGGCAGGAGACTCAAACAGTACTCCTATACAGTCTTCTGTGCTTGCCCTCGACACACTTGTGCCGGCCACTCCCTTCCAGCAGCTTGTACATGGGCTCGGGATCCTGTTACCCACTCCTTTTGGGCCTGTTGAGGATGCACTCGCCTCCGGTCAGGATTGGCTCGACTCTGACCTAAGTGAGCTGCTTGCTGATGCCCAAGTCCCTGCGGAATGGCGTGCGAAGTTTGGTGCCATTGTGGACTGGGAAGCTCGTGCCGCTGAGGCTGTCTTGCTCAGCCTCGAGATTTATACAGATGGCTCCGCCGATGGCGCTGTTGAAGGTCAGTTAGTGGCTCCATGTGCCTGGGCTTTCTCTGTTTGGGCCGTCACTGACTTTGGTCGGTACCTTGTCGGCTGGGCGGCTCATGCTGCCGTGCCGGCCGGCACGCCCTTCTGGGTTGGGGAGCAGCACGAAGATGCCCTTGAGGGTGAGACTCTTGCCTTGGTCTGGGCGCTTGCATGGGTCCTCGACTGTGGACACAGGTTTCGAGTGCCTATGTTGATGCGATACGACGCTGTTGTAGTTGGCGCCGGTGTCTTTGGGGATCAACGACCACCTCAACGACAAGGCGAGGCAGCGCCGAGTCAGCTTGTCAAGCTTGCGGTTGCGTTGCGCCAAAGAGCTACTGTGTGGTACAAGCTTGGACATGAGCATGTTTCCGGACATGCGGGAGTTCTCGGCAATGAGCTCTGTGATCAGCTGTCCAAACGAGCACGCCGACAAAAAGAAGATCCATATGATCGACTTCTCCCTTCATGGCCGGCTCGTCTGCTCAGGCATCCACTGCTGTCGTGGTCATGGATGATGCACCTTTCCAGTTCGCAGTTGCCGGCGCTTTCCGCTTTGGAGGTTGAGGCCCGTCGGTTGCAGACTCAGTCTCGGCCGGTGCCCGCTGCTCCGGGCATGGGCGTTCGTGATGTGCATACTGCTGCCACGGATCTAGCTTTTGCCTTTACAGTTGCCACTTACAACGTCCTCACTATGTTCGATCCGGGTGCTGCTCACGGCCGTAAGACTAGGGCAGGTTCCTTTGGTATGCAGATAGCAGGCAAGCGTGCACTCCTGAAACAACAGATGATCGATAGTGGTGTCTGGGCGCTCGGCCTCCAGGAAACACGACTCCCCACAGATGCTGTGCTCCCCGACAAAGACCTGCTGATGCTTAATGCTGCGGCAGAGGCAAATGGCAGCTATGGATGCTCTTTGTGGTTGAACCTCAAAGTGCCCATTTGCCGGGCCGGCCGGAAGCCTCGTACTCTGCATCGTGACCATGTCGTGGTCACTGGATACTCGCCACGGCATCTACAGGCGCAAATCTGTGCTCCATGGTGCAAGCTTACCATTCTTGTGGCCCATGGACCACGGGTCCTGGGCACAGACTGTACCGCTGCTCGCGACTTCTGGAGCTTGCGCGCAACGGAGCTGGAACAGCGTCCTGACGGCTCTGACGTGATCCTCTTAGTCGATGCTAACAGCAGGCTTGGAGATGTCGAGACGGAAGCTGTCTCTGGACACGATGCGGAGCCGGAAGGTGAGGCAGGTGCCGTCTTTCATGAATTTCTGCTTCGTGTCGGGTGCTGTGTCCCTTCCACTTTTGCTGGGGTCCATACAGGGTCATCTTGGACTTGGATGGCACCCGCGGCTTTCGGGGAAAGCACTCGAAGACGCATTGATCATGTAGGTGTCCCTATTGCATGGCAGTCTTTTGAGCTGCATACTTGGGTCTGGGATCAGTTGGAGTCCATGCAGCTACGGGTTGATCATAGGCCGGTGTGCCTTTCTGTCAGTTTTGGGCGCAAGGCGGCACCAGCCTTCTACCAGCGTGCTTCACGACGGCCGTGCCGGCCGGTTACTCGACCCACGAGAGAGCAGACTCAGCTTTTCATTCAACGGCTGTCTGATGCGCCTAGTATCTCGTGGCAGTCCGGCCCCGATGGCCACTTTGCTGAGCTAGTACCGGATATGGTGCAGGCCTGTGAAGGTCTAAGTCCTAGTCCAGATTCTGGGGCGGTTCAGGCCCATCTTAGTCAGGAAACCCTTGCCCTTGTAAGGGAAAGGGCACAGATCCGGAGCTACTTGCGGTGTGAGAACGTCGAGCTCCGGCGTCGTCGTCTTATCATTGCATTCGCTGCCTTTGTTGCTGGCACCAGATCCGTTCCTCTGACAGCTCATGCCCGGCCTGCAGCGCATGATTGGTTACGGCAAATGGATCACAGCATTGCGGCTGCCGCAGCTAGGCTGAATCGACTTGCCGGGGACCTGCGCCGGGCACTCAAGCTTGATAGGGTTGCCTATCTCCATGGCCTCGTTGAGGAAGTTCAGCTTCAAGACCTTCGAGATCCCCGGCGCTTGTTTGCCGCTGTTCGGCGAGCCTTTCCCAAGGCGAGGTCGGCCCGACGATCGGGTTTTACCCCACTTCCAGCCGTCCTATGTGCGGATGGCAGCTTTGCACAAACGCCGGCAGACCGAGCTGAGCGGTGGCGAGCGCATTTTGCTGAACAGGAGGCTGGGCGCTGCATTGATGCAGAGGATTATGGTGCTTTCTTTGACAACCCGGATATTCCTGTTCTGCCTGCCGGCCCAGTCTTTGACTGGCAGTGTCTGCCTACACTTGGGGATGTTGAGATGCAGGTTGCAGCCATGCATCACAACAAGGCGGCCGGGGCTGATGGGCTTACTGCGGAGGTCTACCGCCTGTCGCCTGCCAATTCCGCCTTGTGTATGTTGCCACTTTTCTTGAAATCCAGTCTTCAGGTTCAAGAGCCAGTCGAGTGGCGAGGAGGTTGCCTTGTTGCGTTGGCCAAGAAGGCCGCTGCGGCTTTGCGGTGTGAAAATTTTCGTTCCATCTTGATGGCCAGCACAATGGGCAAGTTGTATCATCGGGTTCTACGCGCTAAGCTGCTGCCGAGCCTGGACTCCTTCAAAGGCCCATTGCAGGCCGGCACTTCTCGTGGTGTCGGTGTGGACACTGTTGCATTGATGGTCCGTGCCTTCATGGGGTTCTTTGTCCAAAAGGCCAATACAGCTGCAGTTACCTTTTATGATGTCAAAGCGGCGTACTATCGCATGCTGAGACACACCTTGGTCCCCACCCTCTTCGATGACAGGCCGCTCTTGGCACTTATCCATCGCCTCGGCCTGCCGCCAGCTGCTGTCTGCGAACTGCAGCGACACTTGTCCAATCTCGCTCTTTTGCCGGCAGCGGGGGTGGGACAACATGCCACGGCTCTGGTGGCAGACCTTTTCCGCGGCACGTGGTTCAGACTCGATAAATCGAGCGTGCTCACGGTTACCTCCCGAGGTAGCCGGCCCGGTGACCCACTTGCTGATTTGCTATTCGGCTTCAGTCTGGCGGGATACCTTCATGCCATCGATCAGGCGCTTGATCAAAAGGGTTTGAGCACGCATATTCCTGCCTGCGGCCAGCGGGCGGAGTGGTATGAACCACCCACCGACAGCCGTATCAACCATGTTGCGTGGGCTGACGATTATGCGAACATGCAAAAGGCCTCCTCCGAGCCTGCCCTACATGATGCCATTGTTGCAGCCGCAACGGTACACTTGGAGCTCGCCACGGCTGTTGGTGTTGAGCTCACCTTTGCAGTCGATAAGTCTGCGGTTCTCCTGCCTAGCATGTGCGACAGGTCTGCTGCTCAGCCCTCTCCTCTCAATCCAAAGGGGCTACCTGGTTATGCCCTGCGGGATACTCTCTCCGGCCGAGAGCACTTCCTTCCCGTTGTAGATGCCTACCGGCATCTAGGGGGTATTGTCACAGCGAACTGTGCCTCTGCCACCGAGATTGCATTTCGGTACGCACAGGCCTGCTCTGTGCTGCGTCCCCTTCGGAAACAGCTGTTCAGTTCGGCCAGCGTGCCACTCACGCTCCGCATTCATCTGCTTCGCTCGCTTGTTCTATCCCGCTTTGTCTTCGCCAGTTCCATTACTGACTTGACTTGTGCGGTGCATCGTAGGACGTGGTGCAAGCATTATGTGAGTTTGTGGCGGGCTCTGTACCGACGTCGGGAGAAGGATGAACACGTGCACAGTTACAGTGTCCTCCTCCATGCTGGGGCACCATCCCCGCTCCTTGCACTAGCCATGGCTCGTGCGGTGTTTTTACGGCGACTCTTCGCCACAGGCCCCGCCCAGCTCATGCACATGCTTTTCGTGCACTGGCAACAGCGGCCAGCGGCATCCTGGCTTTCCATGTTGGCACTTGATATACGTGCTGTCGCGGCCTACAGCGATGCTGCAGCGGTGCTACTGGTCATGCCATGCCCTATCACCAGCCTGCTGGAATCTTTCAGAGATGACGGGGCCTGGTGGCCACAACAGGTTCGTAAGGCGGTCAAGGGCTTCGGACAGGACCTGTTACAATGGAGCCGGCAGCCTGCGGTCGTGCCGCCGCCTTTGGAACCGAGGGTGCAGGACTTGCCTTTCCGCTGCCGTTGGTGTGAGGCTTCTTTCCGGCTCCACAAACATGTTGCGGTGCACGAAGCTCGTGCCCATGGGTCGCTGTCCCCGTCTCGTCATTTCGCACCGATGCCTTACTGCCTGGCCTGCCACAAATGGCTGCATTCGGTCGTCCGTGTACAGTACCACCTCCGGCAGCATGCTGACTGCCTTCTCCGTTGTGCCCTGGTTCTTCCGCCCATGGACTTGATTGGGGTTCACGAGGCCGAGGCCTATGATAAAGCACAGGAGAAGGCTCGAAAGAGAGGGGCTTGGCAGCAGCATGTGGCGGCGCGGCCACCACTGCAATGTGCCGGACCACGCCTCCCGTCCTATGAGGAGGCCCTGGAAGGCTTGCCAGAATCCGAGATCACGCTCCAGCGTATCAAAGCCTTGTACCGTCCAGCACAGCAGGTCCAGGCATGGATACACGGTTCGGTCTCGCGACGTGCCAAAGAGGGCCCTAGAACGGGCACCAACGAATTCTGGCTGGCCCGCCCCAACACCATGTTTCACACAGAGAATTCAGTTGCGTAGATTTTTGAGACGCGCCCGAATAGGGCTCTGGAGTCTGCACAGGAATACCAGGAATAGACTATTTCGGGGGCTCCTCCTTGTTATAACTATAATATAAAAGCACAGGCCAGCAGAACGAGCTTCCCCGTATTCCCGCGGCCCGCCATGGTGGAAGTTGCGAAGCGACCAGGGAAATGCAGCAACTCTTGGCAAGGACTGATCGCAACGATCCTACTTCGGCCTAATTATAAAACGAAAAACACAACACCTTGAAAGCCGTTGCCATATGAATACCAGGGACATTGGGCACCTTTGGCCGACTCTGGGCACATCTCTCTGCCACATCTGTTGAGCATCCGAGCTGGCGAACATGGTTGCGAGCGTGGGCGGGTTAGATGTTGATGCATGCCAATTTCTCCACGGACTCGGCTGTTCATGCCAGTGCCTCAAGATTGCCTTTGGAGGAGAAGGCGGTATGACACAAAGACGAGACACGGGTTTCTGAAATGTTGGATGACTTGCTAAGGTGTCCTTATCTGAAGAATCCTGCTAGTTTGAGTCTGTTTTTGTTCAGAAGTTCCCGTATGCCGGCATGAGCAGCATTGGCCGTCGCAGTACGCGCCAACAGCACGGCAGCAACGAAGCACGGCATTGGCAGCAATATCGCCATAGCCGGGCCATAGCGTCGCACAGCAGGTGCATACACTCAGGAGATAGTGTGTGGCGGCACCAGGTAGAGAGAGACACTATGTCACAACTCAATCAAAACTCACACGCAGTAGCAGCATTATATTGCTCAGCGATTCGCAACAGAAAGTCCATACCTTGGGGACCAACAAGTGGCCCTGTACAATTATGCTATGAATCCCGAAGTGGTGCACCTTAAAGCCTTCTGGGGTTCTTTTCGCCCTTAAGGAGGAGCCCATGTACGAGTCTGCCCTAAGGGCGCATGTACCCACCTTGCAATAGACTGCTGTGGCCTGAAAGTACCCTTATAGGGATGACTTTAAGGCCAATGTATAGCTACACCAGTACCCTTATAGGTCCCTTATAGTAGCCCTTACAGACCCCTTTAAAGAAACCGTAAGAGGCCCCTGGTACCCTTACAGATCGCTTATTTACTAGCCCTGTAAAGGAGCCCTAGGACGCCCCCAGCGCTAGCCCGGCCCCGCCCTGCACTCATCTTTCTGCAGCGGTCTTCCTCAATATCCCTCGAGTTCGGAGCACCTGGAATCCTGGAAGTCTCGCAGAGGTCCTTTTAAGTCACGGTTTAGGGCTTAATTGAAGAAATTTTTAGGGGCTTTAGGGTTAAGGGCTAATTTAGAGCTATTTGGGGTTTAGGGATTAGGGCTGATCGATTTGTAGGATTTAGGATTAATTTCGGGTTTCGGGTTTGACAAATTTGAACCATCAAGAATCGTTGGACCTGCAGATTTCCATGCGTCAGCTCTAGGACAAGAACCCCGAAAAGCAGCTTACCGTAGATTGAAGGCTGTGCGGAGTCGCTGTTATGAGGTCTTCGGTGTGCCACTGTTCAGAGAGGATGCTCAGGGTTAGTATGAAAGTTGGGAGGCATCATTTCCTGTCTTTCCGGACTTCACTAAACTGCTACAGTCAGGCTCAAGACCAGCAACAAGACTTCCTTGTATAGCCTCCGCTTGATGGGAAGCTGGCACAGGGCCGAGTGAACTAGTTAAAGCGCCTCGATTCGAAGGTGTCGGGGCCCATGTTTTGAGCGCCCAACTCCTCCGGCGCTGCCGGCTGTGATTCAAGCTATCCTACACCGATGAGGTGTCTACGGCCATTCCTATTCTAAACTGGAGGCCTTGAAGGAGTCATCGCCGCCACTTATCCACATGAAACCGTGCTCGATCCTGACATTCGGGGCGAGGGGCGAGGGTCAGTTTGCTCCATCCCTGAATCCCGGCCATCCCCTAATGTAGGGGCCTGAATAATTAGAGTAGGGCTTTGGGCCCCATTATACTATAAGTTTTATAAGCAGCTCCCAAACTAGTACAGGTAATTCTTGAGATGCCTATATTAAACCCAGAAGCCCCTCATCTCGGCGGCAATCACACCTTTGAGGCTCAGTACAATCCAGCTCCCGGCGCACGGTCGAAGTCCCCGAGGCGACGATAGGGGTCTGCGCTCTCGCCACCTGTGCCCAAAGTACTGGGTTGGCCCTTTAAAGCCTCTGAAACATATTCGTAAATAGGGTCCTATTAAGCCCAATAAGGGAACATGTAAAATGACCCAAAGGCCTACCTAGAGTATACTTAGAGGTTCATGGGTAGCTATAAGTGGGGGTTATATGTAGGGTAAGTATACTCATAACTCATATTCCGGGACTTATAACCCTACATATAACTTATAACTACCCATGAACCTCCAAGTAGAGTCCATTGCAGGGGCCTGCATATTTTCAATGTTCAATGCAAGGCTTTTCTTGTCTCAGGATTTCTGTCCGCGGCCGGAGGGGAATGCCGCTTAAGCCAACAATGTCCCATGTTACAACCAACACACACACACACACACACACACACGCACACGCACACACGCACACACGCACACACGCACACACACACACACACCCACACACACACACACACACACACACACACACACACACACACACACACACACACACACACACACACACACACACACTCCTTTTGGAAAGGCTTGCAGCGAGCCTCAGGGGTTCGGGGTTCGAGTTCTACACTACACCTATCTTCGCGAATCCAGAAGAATAAGGCTACTAGTCGTTCAGACTCCTTATATAGTATGTAAACAAGTCGAAGTTTGTAAGCACCAGGACAGCCCAAGCTGTTCTAAACGGTGAAGGCAACCAAGGACCACCTTCCGACAAGGACCAAGTAAACACAAAGCGATACCCCAGGTCGACATACACTAAGGGTCCATGTGCCCATGTAGCATATACTTCAAAAGCCCGGAAGTACCTCTATAGGACTAATTTGAGGCCGATGTGCGTACAGGCACACGTGAGCACATGGATCCCTCGGGATAACGGACCTACACATCCAACGAGCGAGGAAATCCATTCCAGAGCGAGGAGCTCAAGTTTCGGGATGAAGGTACTAAATATAGGGGCCGACCGAGATATGTCAAACGCGTTTTAGGGGGTACTTCACACCCTAGGCCCTAAGCCCTAAAAACCAAATCTTCATCCTACCTTTGGAGGACCCTGGTCTGAGTCTACAAAGCTAGGGTCGAGCTTCGGCCTCCGACAGGCTTCGTGCCCAGGGGTCCTGGAGGACCTCGACTTCCTCGGCCGATTTATGAAAAGTATGTGCTATTGCTACTGCTACTAGGGATTTGGGATTTACATATGCGGAGGCGCTCAAAGACCAAACATGATGGAACCTCTGCTGCTCTGGTGCCGTCAACATGATGCTTTTTCGCAGTGCACAGAATATTGACGATTGTCGCAGGGTGTTTGTGACGTGGCTGGCTTGGCGCCTCCGAACGGCAGACTCCGTCAACAAAGTGCAGTCGGCCGAAACTTTCATCTGAGAAAGCAACATGCTTGCAACACAGAGTAAGTGCCGCGCCGCTGTGCTGCAGCCTCAGCAGAGAATTAAACAGGATACCAAATCAGATTTAAGCCTCTTTCTTCTCGATAACCCATCAAGACCGGAAACTCAAGACACCTTCAGCTTCTGGATAGCATCCTCAAGTTAGCTCGTGAGAAAGCCCGAAACCTGTTTCTCGCGAGGGCAAGCAGTCACGCCACCAGCCCCAGCAGCACGCAGTGGCCAATCAAAACCGGAAAACAAGCAACAACATGCACTCAACTGAGCAAACACAAGTGCGATGAGCATGCCCAATGAGCGCCCGTTAGTCCCTGCTTCTGTTTCCTTCATCAGCAGCCGAAACCCCCAAAGTCCGTCAAGCTTTGCCCGAGTCGGGCGTTATCATCTACATCCGAGAAGGCACAAATGAACATAGGAGCCTTACTAATTAGAACCCCCCTCCCCCCAAATAGTATTGGTAATTATGTAATCTCCTACATGATGGGCCCTTAAGAAAAAAAAGTTCTTCCGAGCACCCCGGCACAGACAGCGGCGGCTCTTGGTTCGCTTGCTGCGCCGGGCCAATCTGTGCCGCCGGAGCGACGGGGTCGGAGTCTTCTGTGGGTTTAGGTTTTAGGGTTTGGGGGTTTAGGGTTCATGTGGGTTTAGGTTTGAGGGTTTAGGGGTTTAGGGTTCATGTGGGTTTAGGTTTTAGGGTTTAGGGGTTTAGGGTTCATGTGGGTTCAGGTTTTAGGGTTCGGTTGGGGGTTTATTAGGGTTTAGTATTCGGAGTTCATGGTTTCTTTCTGATGCAGTGCACTTCAACCTTCTGCAGAGTAGTGCGTCCAGTGCTACCAATAGGGTCTGCATCTGTCTGAGCCGATTAACGTCAACGTTCCCATCAGCGGGACCATCCATCATCTCGGTCATTTGTTGTCACCTGTTGGGTCAACCTCAATCCTGAACCTGAACCCTGAACCCCTAAACCCTATAGGTCCCCAGGTCATTCCAGCAGCTGTGGAATACATGCAGCAAGCGCGCAGCTCATGACTGGCAAGACGGCCCCGATTGTAAAATCTATGTGAAGAGCAAGGCCACCTTTTAGGCTGCTGCTTTCACCGAGCACCGCCTTCCGACCATCACCATGAGGACCCTGAACCTTGAACCCTTCGCGAAGACCGCAACTTTCACTAGACATTTTCCAAGAGCTAAGCTGCCCTAAAACCCTAAACAGAAACCGACGCTTTCACTAGGGCCACACGTCGCCGCTCGAGCAGACGGCGAAGCAATTTTAGGTCCCACACCGGCGCCCAGAAGCCTCTCAGTCGGGCTTGCCGGAAGGTTGATATCCCCAAGGGCCCATGTACTCATATAGTACATACAGTGGCCTTTATAAATACATAAATAATCAGTTAACAAATAAATATATATATATATATATAAATAAATAAATAAATAAATATATATATATATATATATGTATATATA